GGTTAAGTAACATTCAGAATTAACAGGCTGGAAAGATAGCAGGCAATTAAGTGAGGGATGACTATAAGAGCCTATAATTAGGCTAGAAATATCAACCACAGAAGAAAATGAAAACAGATGGGGGGGCTGTGTTTCTAAATTGCAAGCTTATTAAAGTGGAATAGTGGCTGAGGAACAAAACATGAAAAAGAATCACAAGGTAGATTACTATGGAAATGTACTACCTTTAAATGTACTACTTTTTCATTACATTCTCCCTGTGAAGTATGAACCTCTGCTTTACAAATTGAGGACAAACTGTTCTCAAGACCACACACTTACAGTAAGTATAAGAAACAAGATTAAAATCCAGGTCTGACTTCTGGACCTACTCATAGAACAAATTCAGCTCTAAACAGTAAGAGAACAAGTCAGAGGAAATGGGAACACAGCACAAAGTTCTAGGCCAGAATGGCTAGATCATTTGGGAAAAGAGCCAAATGATAGGTAAAAATAAAAATGTTAAATTATTAAATGATCATCTGAAGTAGATACTAACAGAAGGGTGACAATAAACATCTTTCATAAAACATAAAGTCCCACAAATAAAAGGATGGGCCAACTATGCTACAGTAACCACCTTTCTCCTTCCCTAGTAACTTGTGGTGGGATTGAGGCAGGAGACAGCATAGGAAGAACTCTGAGACTGCAATACCGTTACTGGCCAGCATTTAGCACCCTGGTTGCCAGGAAATGCCTTTTACCAATCAGGTAGAATAAATAGTAAACCGAGGCAGGGAGGAAGAAGGAGACAAGTCTCACATGCTAACTCAGCAGTCCTGAGCCTGGTCTGATAATATTGCCAGGTGTTCCAACATCACAAGAAACACTAAGTTAGTGAGAAAGAAGGGAAGTCCTTGAAATTCTATGTAGCATTACCACTATCTGGGAAAGAAAGCCTTGAAACTGTGCTTTCCTCCCAAGGCCTGAATGTGGGAGAGGGTCCCCGGTGCCCAAAGAGCGAGCCCATAAAACAACTTTGGTTAAATGCCTACCTCTGGTCACTATCTGTTTTACAAGGGAGTCCCTGATGCTTAAAGAAAGAGCTGATAAATAACTTTGGAAAGTGCCCCAATTTTAATTAACTGCCTCCTGTCATGTATTTGTTTTACAACAAGATGAACAAATGGGGTCTGGAGCCCCACACATACCTAAGTTGGGGTAGTCACATTCCCCCAAGAAAGCAGGCACCACAACATTTACCTGTTAATCAATATGTAACTTTTTTTCCCCTCCTATCCCACCAACTATTTAAGTCGTCAGAACAAAGCACTCCTCCCTCTCCCTCTCTCTCCCCCCTCCCCCCCCCCCCGGAGGCTCTGGGGGCTCTTGGTTCTTGGGCAACCGGGGCTCTGGCCACCTGGCTCCAGGCTGCCCAGGGGCTTGCCACCCTGGTCTTCAGCTGCTCTTGCTTTTGCTGCCCTGCTTTGCCCTGAAGCTGCCTTTCACCCCCTATTCTACCCAGTCCTGTTCTCTTCCAGGGGAATGGGCCACTAATAAGCTGATTACATACTACTAGATTTGCTGATATATAATTCTTTACATGCGTCAGCAAGAAGAACCAGGTCTCTCCCATCAACAGGATGTGGGACACAGCCGTGGAAGAAACTCCCTTCCCGTTAGATGACTTAACACCACAGATTTCTGGTTAATCACAACTGGAGACATGAACGTGACAGCTGCAATGTGATTCAAGAAGGTCCGAGAAAAACAACTACTGCCAACATAGGACACTGAATCAAAACATAGTCAACTAAGCCACTCTACCTCCAAAAGCGTATTTCACTTCTCGGCTTTCTCCATCCACTCTGAGCCTCTCACCCTCATCCCATGAAGTCCATTCTATCGCTAACACTAGGTCTCCACTTTCTCGTCCCACATTACCTTGACTGTCTCCAGACTGGCCCCTTCCAGCACCACAATGAGCCTACGGCCTCCCATCTTGCTTCCCGCCCCAAAACGGGGCCGCTTGGGCTCCACAACATCCCAGTCCTGTTCCTGGTCCTCACAGCGACGCTCACGAGGTTGGAATCCACCACTGGGCGCAGCCATCTTACAATCGGAAGTTGTGTTAATATCCTGAAATTAGCAACACGCTTTTCCTAATCGCAAACTTACTTCCGGCTGCCATTTTGAAAGTGGGCGGTTGGAAATGCCGCTTGTTTGCTGTCTAGCACTACAGAAGTGTCTCTGGGAGGGCAGGGTTTCAGAGAGAGGCGGGACTTCCTTATGCGCAATTCCTGTGCGCGAAATTCGGGTCCTCCACAGAGCCGGGGGCGGGGGGGAGGGTTTAGGAGGGAGCGCACTTCCGGTGCCCTTTCTCCTGCGAGCACCTGGGCCACAGACCCTCGTGTGAAGGGTGCTGTTTCTAAACTGGAGTGGGGTAGAGGCGGGCCGGCACCCCCTCCTGACCTTTGGTGTCGCCGGCCTCAGGATCGAACATGGCCCAGAACTTGAAGGACTTAGCGGGACGGCTGCCCTCCGGGCCCCGGGGCATGGGCACAGCGTTGAAGCTGCTGCTGGGTGCCGGCGCCGTGGCCTACGGGGTCCGCGAGTCCGTGTTTACCGGTGAGCAACCCCCGCCCGCTCTCCGGACTCCTCCCGTCCCGCCGGGTCCCCGCGCGCACTCAGCCCCTCGCCTCACCAGGGGCTAGCACGTACTCTCCAAGCAGCGACCTGGCCTGATCTCCACCCCTCTCCCCACAGTGGAAGGCGGGCACAGAGCCATCTTCTTTAATCGGATCGGTGGCGTGCAGCAGGACACCATTCTCGCCGAGGGCCTTCACTTCAGGTAATGGCGGGCAGAGCGGATTGACCCTGACCCTTCACCCTTGAACGCCGCCAACCCACCAATGGCCGTAGTAGTACGTTCTACGGAATCGGCTCTGGTCTTTCCACTCCTTACCCCATCTCCCAAGACAGTGGGTACTGCCCATAATTGCAGTAGCACATAAATGTTGTTCTCTAAAGAAAGAAGAGAATTTTTCCTGGTTTGTGGTCATTAAGAGGAGAAGCAGGCCAAGAAACACGTGAGGAAAAAACTAATGAAACTGCAGTCTCCCAGTAACTGTATCTGTTTCCTCTCCTCCAGGATCCCCTGGTTCCAATATCCCATCATCTATGACATTCGGGCCAGGCCACGAAAAATTTCCTCCCCAACAGGCTCCAAAGGTAGGTTTGGACACTGGGAAGCCACCAACAGATGGGCTACCTAAAGTCTGTAAGGAAGCCTGGCAAGACCCCTAGGGGAAGATGGTTGTGTCAGAGTTCTTGGGCCTTGGTTTTCACGTCTGCAAAAGAGCTGGAATAAAAATACCTGCTTTTGGTTTTAAAGTAGAACATTCTGGACACACTGTGTGTGTTTGCACTTTCTTAACTTTTCCTGTCCCTAAGGTAAATTCAATGAGAGTACTTTTTGTTCTTTGTGTTATTCACTGCCTAGATCAAAGCCTTGTTTTAAGGCTTTCTTTTTACTGCTTGACTTACTAATGATATCCATGGGTACACCACATCCTGGGGACACTGGTGCTTCTGGTTCCTCCTAGACCATATCTGGAAGCTGTGCCTTTCACATTCCCCAGACCCCTTCACACACAGACATGCACACCGAGGCAAGTAGCTCACCTGTAATATACTCTTGTGCTGTTTTTAGTGTGGTCACTTAACATTCCCTAAATCCTAGGTCCTGTGAGTGAAGAATGTATAAAACACAGTCCTCATCCTCAAGTCCTGATAATCTAGTGAAGAAGACAAGCGGTTATGTTAAAGCCTGAGGTAGAGGTTGCACGTAGTAGAGTGGCAAATAGAAAGAGATTCACTTTATTGGTAGAGTGATAGAGAAGACATCACAGTGGACGGAGGAGGTTTTATTTGACCCACACCAGGTCACTTCTGGTCAGCCTGATTACTCTCCGCTCCAGGGGAGTTCCAGGCTGAAACGACATCACGTGGAGGAGATGGTGTTCGGGGAAGGATACTAGGCTAAGAGGCCGGATGAGGCCTCCGTGGCCTTGCCCAGCCACTGCTGATCTCACTCTTAGACCTGCAGATGGTGAACATTTCCCTGCGAGTGCTGTCTCGACCCAATGCCCTGGAACTTCCCAGCATGTACCAGCGCCTAGGACTAGACTACGAGGAGCGAGTGTTGCCGTCCATTGTCAACGAGGTTCTCAAGAGTGTGGTGGCCAAGTTCAATGCCTCGCAACTGATCACCCAACGGGCCCAGGTTGGACCCAGCTCCCATCACCGTCTGCATAATGTCCACATTTTCCTCATAGGGCCCAGGGCACTGACTATTAGGAAAGGCAGCTTATTAGAAAAAGCTTGTGACCCCAGTTCCATTTCTAGCTAAAAGCTGCACTGGTGGCCACTGTGAGAAACGAGAGCCAGGACTAGAACTCAATAGATCCTAAGAAAGGGTTGGTGAATTTTCTGCCTTATTCAGAAGATCTGGTATTCAGCTGGTCACAGCAACACACCTTCCTTTCAGTTCTCCAGCCCCCTCTCACCACCTCTCCCTTCCCCTCCTCACCCCTCCCCTCCTCACCCGTCCTCGCAGGTGTCCCTGTTGATCCGAAGGGAACTGACAGAGAGAGCCAAGGACTTCAGCCTTATCCTGGATGATGTAGCTATCACAGAGCTAAGCTTTAGCCGAGAGTACACAGCTGCTGTAGAAGCCAAACAAGTGGGTGAGTTCCCAGAAGAGTAAGTCGAGGATTTCTGAGAATGCAGGAGGGGTTTGGGGTTCCTGACACCTCACATTTGTGACCTCTTGACTGTCCCACCACAGCGCAACAGGAGGCCCAGCGGGCCCAGTTCTTAGTGGAAAAAGCAAAGCAAGAACAGCGGCAGAAGATTGTGCAAGCAGAGGGTGAAGCCGAGGCCGCCAGGATGATATCCTTCTGCTGGAGAGATCTGGGCTTACCCCTGGGGCACCTCGCTTTCCTGTCCTCCCTCATGGGCTGGCTGATGAGACTAAGGCGAATGCGATTCCGTGCTCTCTGATTCTTGGCTCTCTGGGTGGGGGGAGGTTTCAAATGGGATCTGAAATCTTAGTGGGGTTCCTGAGCTTGGCTCCTCACTGTAAGACAGATCAATAGCACTGCTGGCCTTGCCTCTGTTCCTGCTGCTACCTCCAGTTCCTGGCAGCTGCCTGCAGGGGGGCCCACAGGTGAGAACCAAAGTAAGACTGGGCACGAGCCCCCTGAGCGCAACCTTGGATCTGACAGCCCTGAGGAGAGCTAGAGTGACAGAAATAGCAAGGATGGGTCCAGGGATTGAGACCTGGCCTTGTGTGAACCCTTAACCCTACCCTGCTCACCTTGGAGAAGCACTGAGCAAGAACCCAGGCTACATCAAGCTGCGAAAGATCCGGGCAGCCCAGAACATCTCCAAGACGGTGAGTGTGAGAGCCCAGTGTCCCTCACAGGGCTTCCTGGAGACTGAGTGTTTTCTGTTGAAGCACGCCGAAGTGCAGTCATTGAAATCATGCTCCTTCAGGTTTCTACACAGACTGGCTTCTCTTACACTTCCCTTCATCAGAAACAATTCCACGGGTTCCCTAGACCTTTAGTTCACACCTCTGTTATGGTACTAACACGATCACAGTTACTTGCTGCTCTGGATCACTGTGTGAGGGCCGAAACCACATCTTTGTCATTGTGGGATCCCTGTTCCTAACCCCCATGTGTTCAGTCAGTGGTTATTGAATGTGAGAATAGGAATTGAGGTCTTCTTTCCTTAACACAAGCACCTGTCTTGATTTCCTGCCTTGTAGATTGCCACATCACAGAATCGTATCTATCTCACTGCTGACAACCTTGTGCTGAACCTACAGGATGAAAGTTTCACCCGGTGAGAGAAGTGACCTACACAGTGGGGTGTCGCAAAGAACATGGGATCTGCATTGGTCACTTGGGCTCTGAAACCTGTTAGTTTACTCATAGGACCCTTGAAAGACACCATTTCTCTGAACCAAAAAATAGAAAAGTATAAGATACTTGAATCTCACAATCTAATGAGAAGGGGATTATTTGTGTGAAAAGCACTGTAATTGTAAAGTTTTGTCTTAACTGAAAAGCAGTGAAAGATGCTTACTCAGGTCTCACGCAGGAAACCTAGCATTGCTGCTCTGGGGCATGGAAGGGTGCTAGGAAAGGAGAGGGGAGGAATGGCAGTGACCAAGAGAACCAACTCTTCCTTTCCAGAGCCTGAGATTTCCTGGCTTCCACCCCAGTTGTCTTTTTCCCTTGGGAGCAAGGGAGGGGTTTAGACCTGGGTGGGGCTGAGCTGTAAATCACCTCTGCGTCTTCTTTTTTCTATGTGTCCTGTTCACCTGGTGACCTGGTGTCCACAGGGGAAGGTAAGTTGTCGGTGCACCCTTTGTTCTGGGGGGTCTTGCAACTCATCTTAGGACCTACCTTCTCCCCCACCAGCTAACCTTTCTCACCTCCCCATACACTCTTAATCAGGAGGGAGGGTGGTGGAGAAGGGAGGGCCAAGAGGCTGTTCCTCTCGCATTTATATCCCCTAATGTCGCCTGTCTCCTTTATCCATCTCCTTTCTGCAGTGACAGCCTCATCAAGGCTAAGAAATGAGCCTAACGACCAAGATCTCCACCCCCAGAGAAGAAATGGAACTGTTTCTGCCCTGGTGTTGGAGGAGCCCGCTTGGGGATCCAGCACACCCCACCCCGCCCCCAGGATCATGTGACGCTCCCCTCCGCATCCGTCCTCCTAGCCCTTCTCAGATGAAGACTGACCCGTTTTCAGGGGGATGACTTTCATCCTCCTGTGCTGGCCAGGGTTGTTGGGACAGTGTGTGATTTCTTAGTGATTTCCTACAGTGTTGGCTCCTCTCTCAAGGTTGGGAGGCGATAAACACCAGCCCGGGAATTCTCAATAAATTTTTATTACTTAAGCAGAAGTCAAGGCTTCCTGTGTCTGAGCTGGGTTAGGGAGGCGCGCATGCGCGCACTCACAGAACACTCCTGAGTCTTCGTCTTTGCCAGCAGGGGGCGCACAGACTCCGGCTAGGGCATTTGCGGAATAACAGGCCTGGGCCCTGCTGCTCACCCTGGAAGCCCAGCAGAGTCATTGGAAACAGCAGGCCCAGCTGCGCTTTCGGCCCCATCCTCCCTTTAAGGCTGGAGCAGCTGTGGGTTTGCTGAGCTAGACCAAAAATGTGATGACGCCAGCAGGAGCTGCTTCCTTAGTAACAGGGTTCCATGCAGCTGTGGGTAGACCACTCATGCCTATCAAGGGTTAGGCCCTGTGGGTTGTGTTACCTACTGTGAGCTACCCCCACTGCCAATTTCACAACCCCCCTGGGTGTGAAGGAACCCATGTGAAACAGGGCTCTACCTGCAGAGATGAGCTCATCACTCCCACAGCTCGAGCCCCCTGACAAAACGTGCCAGTTTTCAGTTCCTACTTGAGCCACCTCCTCTTCCCAAGACAGTGCCCGCTGAAACTCAAGCACCAGAGACATGAAGTCACTCCTGTACCTGATGCCATACAGACCAGTTCCCATCCCTTGTCCTTACAGAAAGACGAGCATTTGGAACTGAAAGAGCACTGGGGGCAGAAGCATGTACAGGAATTACAAAGTGGTAGGGGAGGCGGTGAGTCTCACGGGGTGGGGACTGGGTTCATCTTCAGCTTATTAGATTTTTGGAGAAGGTAGGTTGACTTGTCCCTGCTCTGCAGGTTGACTGTCATGAAAGGGACGGGGATGAGGCAGCCGGGGCAGCCCCACTCCTCAGGAGCTGGGAGCCTAAAATGAAAGTGACAGAAATAATGGGCCCTGGCTGGTGTGGCTCAGTGGATTGAGTACCGGACAGCAAACCAAAGGGCCACCGGTTCGATTCCCTGTCTAGGGCACATGCCTGGGTCGCAGACCACGTCCCTAGTTGGGGGTGCACGAGAGGCAACCTCGCACTGATGCTTCTCTCCCTCTTCCTCCCTCCCTTCTGTCTAAAAATAAATAAACAAAATATTTTTTTAAATGAGTCAAGTAACCTGAATCAGTCTGCAACAAGTACCCATCCACACTTTATTTTGTTCTTTTCCCAAGGCAGGAAAAGTAGAGGTTCCTGGAAAGCAAGTATGTTTTCAAATCCTGCTGTGACCCTGGAGGCAGCCATTTTGTCTCTTCCCCATTGTTTCCCTTTTCCTAGCGATTTACACCCCCGGCCACAGGGTAAAGGTCAGAGGTTGTTGGTCAGAAGGCCTCCATGGTCTTCAGGGCTCCCTGAAGGTCACTGCTGAGGGAACCGGCCCGGGGGCCATCTTTACCAGACAGTGTTAGGAGCTTCACAATTAGACCATCCAACACTGTACTGGAAGATGGACCCAGAGCCGGTCGACACGCAGCTCCAGGCTAGAGCTGACCAGTTGCTACAGGGACCCTGGCCACAGGCCAGGAGAGGTCTCTTGAGAGTACATGAGCCAATCCGAAGCTCAAGGTCTGCCGTGGGTTCTGGATCCACCAGATGACAAATCACTCCAGGCTGGGGGAGGGGCTCGGAACCATTGTGTCCCTTCAGTGGGCAGCTCGCCAACCAGGAGCCGCTCTGGTTGCAGCACCCTCCACTCAAGACGAAGGGGACTCCGGGGTGTGTGGGGAGCTTCAGGAATGGGGGGTGGGTGGCTGCAGCCTGCTGAGGGCCTGAAGGAAAAGATGCCGCTGACACAGGGGCAGGGGCCTCCATCTTTACCCGGCAGTATTAGAGACTCCCAACCAGCACCCAAACACTGCTGGGTAAGACGGGGGCCCCCACCCAACCTGCCTGCCTCTAGGTCAGGCAGTCCTGGGCCCAGGCTCCCCGTGGAGAAGCTGCAGCACCCTGGCTCCCTTCCCCCAGCCACCCGAGTCCCTGAGGACACTTCCGGGTGAGCCCTGCAGCCCGCCACCAGCTCCACCCTGAGGAGTGGACCCACTGAGGCCCAGGCAGAGCTCCAGCAGCCCCCTACCCACCTGTTTTCCGCTTCTGAGCCCTTTCCCCAACCACCCGCATAGCCTGCCCCAGCCCCCACATACCAATTCACGGGCCCTTATCGCCCCTCGGGCAGTCCCCAGCTCAGCCTCAGGACCCCTCTCCCACGGCCTTCCCCAGGTCAGCAGGCCACCTGCCCCACAGGGAGTGAGTGCTGAGGAGAGGAGGGGAGTCAGGCCCAGCATTCGGCCGCCGCCCTGGACTCTTCCTTCTTCCTTCTCCACCGGCAGGCAGCGCAGGCTCCTCACCTGGGCCCCGCCCGCCGCCCCTGCCTGCGCACAGGTGTGTCCTCCTGCCATAGGCTGCCCCCCCACTGCCTTAACCCCTTGCCTCCCAGCGCCAGCCCACGCGCCTCCTCTGACTCCCAGCCACCTTAGTAGGCCTCGCACCATTTCCTAGCGGTGTCCTCTCACTTACCTGCCGCCTCTGCCCCCAGGCCTAGATCAGGGAGACTGGTCGGTCACCGAGGGACAAAAGAAAAGGCTGTCTTTGGGCCCTTTTGCCTTCCTCCTTGGCATCTCCCCACAGCCACTCCAGCCCCCAACTACCTTCTCCTTCTGAGGCCTCTGACCCTGCCTTCTGACCCTGCCCTCTGACCTGGAGAGCCGGAGATCCCTGCGATTAGCTTGGTAGGTTCCGGTTATGCTAGATCTAATGCCCCATCTGTGCTGGGCATCCCTGTCCGTGGAGGGCAGACAGGCCCCAGCATGGCGCCTCCCTGTCCTTGGCCAGCCCCAGCGTTGGGGTGCCTGCCTCTGCTGAGAGGCCCGAGCTGGCCAGGAACGTCAGTACTGACCTAGACGACTCAAGTCCTGAGCGGCTCTCCTTCAGCCCTCACAGGCTCAGCCCCTGCAGTTGTCCCGCAGGAGGGGTGACCGGGGAAACTGCTCTGTTCTCCAGAGGGACCCAAGTCAGGCGAGCTGCTTCCGGACCCACCTTATGGCTCTGGATCCAAGTCCCAGCCCCGGGCAGCTAGCCCAAGGGCGGTTAGAGGGTGTGGAGCCTACCTTTCCTTTGTGCAGCTCCAGCTGGGACAGAAAGGGCGTTGCTGGGAGAGGGGCCCTGAGGCCCACAGGTGATGGCCCCACCCACCCACCCCCTGGAGAGCCTTAGCTCCAGGGAGCTTATTGTGTTGCCCAATCTGAGGTCTCTCTCTCTCTCTCTCTCCACCCCTGTCCCCTCCTTCCCTCCCTTTTTCTCTCCCTCCGTCCTTTGTTGTCTTTGCATCCTTCTTAATACCTTTCCGTATTTATTGTTTGTGGACTCTCTGGGTCTGCCTCCCCTACCCTTCTCCTAAGTTCATCATCACACGCCCAGCACGACTCCAGTGCCTGTGACTCAATGGATGCTCAAAAGAGAAAGTGCATGCTGAATGAAGGACAGCCGACATGGCCTCAGAAGTGTGCCTACTCCTGAGCATGAGCGGGGCGGGGGGGGGGGGGCAGGGGGGGCAGGCAGGACTCCCATAGGCTTAACTCCCCGGGAGTTGAAAGTAAAGCCTTACTACAAGGAAGGAATCTCACTGGTAGCCCACTCTGGCTGGACACAGGGAAGGAAGAGAAGACAAAAATAAAACTGATCAGGAGCATAAGGGCGGCAGCAGCAGCCCCAGTGGAAAGGAGGAACAGGGGTCTCCTGTGAGCACCAGGAGCCCAGAGAGCAGAGGAAGAACCAGAGGCCCTGCGCCTCCTGGACTTGGTTTTCTCAGCTCTCGGACCTAGAAGTCAGCGCCAGGGCTGTGTGGCTGTGTCCCACTCAGGTGACTGCCACTGCATCGCCACGGCTGTGGGCTCTGAGGCCAGACAGCCTGCGTTGAAATCTTAGCTTCCTGCTCAATTCTCCTGTGACCTTGAGCAAGATATTGAATCTGTGCCTCAGTTTCCCCCACTGTAAAATGGGAATGATAGATATCTAGACTGAATGAATACGTGTAGTCTTTTAAATAGTTCCTGACAGAAGCATTTGAGATCTTGCTCCCTGGTATATGTGGTCAGTTTGGCTCAAATAAACTCTTATTAAGAGTTAGATAGATAGATAGATAGATATAGATGATATAGATATAGATATAGATATAGATATAGATATGGACACTGTGGCTGGTGTGGCTCCGTAGATTAAGTGCCGGCCTGTGAAGCAAGAGGTCACCAGGTTGATTCCCAGTCAGGGCACGTGCTTGGGTGGCAGCCAGGTCCCCAGTAGGGGGCATGTGAGAGGCAACCACACATTGATATTTCTGTCCCTTTCTCTTTCCTTTCTCCTCACTCTAAAATAAATAATAAAATCTTAAAAATATATATTTACTTTAAAAAATAAAATAAAAAATAAATAACAGTGCCTGACACATGGTGCACGTGTTATGAATTATTGTTGCCTTTGCAGTTTTTGTGCCTCATCTCGGTGATCTTCACAGTTGCCTGGAAATCCTCCACTTTCCAGGACAGAGGCTGGGGAACCTGGCCCACAGCCACACTCTTAGGTGTATTAAGCAGAGTCCAGAGCCAGGTCTGTCTGACTGTGAAGATGGAGCTTTTATTCGCCACCCCTCCACACACACACACACACACACACACACACACGCCTCTCCCTGCCCACCTGTCCCTCCACCCCCTTCAGCCCTTCCCACCAGGCAGCACAGAGTTAGAGACCCACACACAGTGATCCTGGGGTCTTTATTTACAAGAGTAGAAGGGTCTGGCCCACCTGGAGCCTGGGGCAGGGAGGGGGCTATATACAGGGTCTGGGAGAGGGAGGTGCAGACGAGACCATTTAAATTACAACAGAGTTGGGCTGGCAGCTCCTAGGCTCAGGCTGTGGATGTTCACTGGAGGCTTCTACGGAAGAGAGAAGGGAATGAGGGCGTGAGGGCATGAGGGTGTGGCTGGAACCTGGGGAAGGGTCAGGAGAGCTGGTATGGAAGGGCTGGGAAGGGCAGAGTGAGGCTGCAGCCATTCAGGGTAAGCTCCAGAGCCAGAGGACACTGGGGGCAGGGGAGGGGAGATCCCTGGGCAAAGGGGTCAGGGGACACTGGGGGCAGGGCAGGGCTGAGCCCTGAGCAGCGGGGCCATACCATGACCGCCTCAGGACAGTGCCCAGCTCACTTCCTCTTGAGGGAACCCTTGCTCTTGTCCTTGTCCGCTGACCGCTGCTTCTTCACCTTCTCCTCCCTCTTGTTCTTACTCTGCAGGTTCTCGTACACATCCTCCTTGTGTCTGCAGTGGGGTGGGCAAGTGTGGGCAGTTGGCCCAGGTCAGGAGACAGTGCAGCATCACCCAGCACCAGCAGCCCCTTCTGGGCCACTGTGCCTCACAGGTGAGAACACTGAGGCCAGGAGATGGAGGAGAGCTGGTCACTCTCCTTGCACTAGACTAGCAGCTCCTTGGGGGCAGAGGCTCCATCTCACACCTTAATATATTACCAGCACCCAGCACAGGCCCCACACAGAAGAAGGGCACTTGGGAAACACTAAACACAAGTTCAAGCTTGAACTTGAACCCAGGTCTCCTCAACAACAGCACCTGTCCTCTCTGGAAAGAGAGGGTCCAGCGGGGAAGGAGAAAGGGGGGGAAAGCCGGCAGGTGGCAGGCAGGAAGGCCACTCACTTGGACGAGGTGCGAAAGGCCTTGGCATGGGCATTCTTCATGGCGGGGGGGTAGGAGATGTTCCCATACTCCGACTCCTGGCCCTTCTGGGACTGCAGGCAGAAGCATGGTGGGAGGGCAGTGGTCTCAAGCAGAACCAGGTGACACCCACTGCCCTCCCCAGCACCCCCAGGCCCTGCTTGGCACGCACCTGCATAACCTCCAGCTTCCTCTTGGTGGTTTCAATGAACTGGGCGATGGCCACATAGATGAACTTGTACTGCGCCTCCGTCTGCACCATGCCTGAGCGCTGCGCCCGCACCATCTGGATTGTCTTCTGGATGTCAATGTCACAGTCCAGCCCTGAGCAGGGACGACAGCTAGACCTCAGGCCCAGGGGGAGGGGGACATGAGGAGCTGCTCACCCACCCTACCACCTGCACCCCCCCCGGCAGCCCTCACCTTTGGTGGCGATGCTCTCCATGAGCATGTCGATGACAATGATGGTGCCTGTGCGGCCGATGCCCGCGCTGGGGAGAGAAGGAGGCACCGTCAGAGGCCAGTCCACACCTCCCCAGGAAGGGGGCCCAGAGCTCCTGTCCAGCCACCACTCTCTTTCCACTTCCTCCACTCCCTGCCGTGACTCCTCATTTCTGGCCAGCATCTGCTGCGAACCCAGGAAGACCCAGGACCCCCAGTCCCACCACCGTCCTGCCCACCCCTCTCCCTGGGACCTTCTCTGAAACCCTTGGCCTGAGGGAGGTCTCCCCCTTCTCCCTTCCTAAGTCATCTTTGGAGCTTCTTTCTTCAGGGCTTCATTTCCCTTTTTCTTTAGACCCTGATGGCAGGAAAAGGGCAGCCCTCAGACAGTGGGGTGCAGGGGACACACAGGCCAGAAGACGCGGAGGAGCAGTGCAGCAGGAAGTCTGCCTGCCTTCTCCCCCACCCTCTGCCTCCACCCTTGGGCAGACAGAGCCCAGGCACCTCGGGACCCCACATGGACCTCAGTCCCGCCCCTTCTCCGGGCCTGTCAGGCTAATGCCCTGAGTCGCGCTAATTTCAAACCCAGATTGTCAAAAATAACCCCCCCTCACCCACTTCCTTCCTGTAACGTCTAAATAAAGGCCATGGGGATTTCAAGAATTGAGTGAGAGTGTGGGGGTGGGAGGCAGCAGGAGGGTCGTTCCTGGTGATGGGTCTGCCCCTCGAAGCAGAGTATGGGGGCACCTCCAGATCCGGGCCACGGAGCCCTGCCCCAGGAAAAGCAGTTGCTGGTGAGGAAAGAAGTCGAGGACCTCACAGCCTGGCTCACATGGAGGGGGCGGGAAGAGAAGAGCACAGAGCAGGTTTCTATTTCCCATTCCCTGACAGCTCCCATTTCTTGAGGGTTTTCTGTACTCCAGACACAACGATAGAATCTCATGTAATCCTCACCACAGCCCTGTGAGATCCTGATTTTACAGATGAGGAAGCTGAGGGTCAGAGAAGTGAAGTAATTTGTCCAAGGTCACCCAGCCGGTGAGTGGAGGAGCTGGAATTTAAACCAGCAGTCTCTGTCCCAGACCCTGTGCCCACTTCCCCCCACCCCCCAGACCAGGCCGGCTGGGTCGGCCCGTCTGTGGGACTCTGCCCCTCAGACGTGCTCCTCCTTGCTGACTGAACCCCTCAAAAGGAACGGGGTCTCCTGACCATGAACATGAGGGTCTCCCCTGGAGGCAGTGATGTATGTGCCCCTCCTGAAGATATCACCTGTCCCTGCATACGCAGGCCAAGTGGCACTTGGCTGGGAAGCGGGGAGGTGGTGCTGGGAGCAGCAGTGAAAAAGCCCGGCACTCACAGGGCTGCAGGTGGAGAAAGAGAAGGGATGGGGAGCCACACTGACCCCACATGGAGGGTGGTGGGGCCGAGAGGAAACGGGCTGAGTGGGCCAGTACGAGAAAACGGCGACCAGGACCTTGGGCTGTTGTGAGTGCCAGCCCAGGCTCTCCCCTGACCCACTGGCCAGGTCTGTTTCTTCATCTGTCTTTGGCAGGGATGGACAAGGTGGTACACCCAGGGAGGTCTCTGGGAAAGCCACCCCAAGCACAGGATCAGACAGTGGGGTTGGTTCAAGCTAAGTTTCACCCATGGATCTGGAGCCCCAGGGGCCCACCAGAGGCTGGGGAGAGGGGAAGGGAATAAAGGAGTTAACACGTAAATTGCTTACAGTGTGCGTGGCACTCAGCAACATTTACTCGCCAGCTACTGTTTTTGTGGTCACTACTAATCTATGTATTATTCTTCTCACCTGCAGTGCACAATGATGGGCCCTGCATGAGGCAGACTTTCCTGCCGCTGATTGACCTGGTCCAGGAAGCTGAGGACGCCCCCAGGCTCGCTGGGGACACCATGGTCAGGCCAGCTCAGGTACTGGTAGTGCCAGATCTCCCGCACCAGGTTCACCTGGACAGAGCACGAGAATCAGTGTCCCCTGCTCCCACACATGGCTCCATCCCTCCCAAGCCAGACAAGAGAACAGGACTCACATTGTCCAGCGGGGAGACCTGTAGGGTGCGGAGTTTGTACTCAGCTGTGTCGTGTTCCCCACAGCTGGTTACAGTGTAGGGTCCATACACGCGCTGAGTGCCCACCTCTGGCCAATATGGGACACATTTGTTCTGGAAGGGAAGGTGGGGGTGGAGAATGAGGCAGAGAAGCAGGCATGAGGCTGGGCGCTCTGGGCCCTGTTCTAGGTCCCAAGTCCTGGTGCTGGCCCAGTCAACATCTCTTAGATGAACGGGTGACCTGGCCAAGAGTCAGAGTCTCAGTACCCAGGGCTGAGACTTGACCAGCCACCTAACTTACAAGCCACTCGATACACATAGGCTGACACGCGCACTGCGCCTGAAGCTGTGCAAACAAGGCAGGAGTCACAAATGCAAATAAGAGGCAGTCTGTACCCCTGAGCCTCCAGGAGCTCACAGAGAGACAGGTAGACAGGAAAACATGGAGTGTGAGGGAGGGAGAGACTAATTCTTCCTCTAGGTTATGGAGGAAATCAGAGATGGCTTCACAGAGGAGGGAGCATTCGAACTGGGTCTTCACAAATGAGGAGTCTGTCAGGCAGAGATAGTGCAGAGAGAGGAAGTCATTTCCTAGCAGCAAGTGAGCTTGTGCAAAAAGGCACAGAAACCTGAAAGAGCCCAGCCCTCTGGAAGCAATGGATGTTGCAGAGAGGCTGCCAGGCCTTGAGTGCCAAGTCTTAGAGTGTGACTTAATCCTGAAGGCAACTGGGAGCTGTTGAAGGGTCTTCAGCGAGGGGAATAGGTGACATAGTCTGTGAGTTGGACGGGATCACTTTGACTATAGTACAGAGGGTTCTGCCGTGCAGGGGTCAGAGGAGAGAGCCAACTCAAGAGACTTCTAAGGCAAAGGACACAAGAGGGGCTCTTGGCTGCGTGGGGACAGATGGAGGAGGAGCAGGCAGAATGTTTGCTTCAGGACAATTTGAGGCAGAAGCCCCATTGAAAACCTGAGTCTAGGCCCTGGCTGGGCAGCTCAGTTGGTTAGAGCGCCGTTCTGATACGCCAAGGTTGTGGGTCGGATCCCCAGTCAGGGCACACACAAGAACCAACCAATGAATGCACAAATAAGCAGAACAACAAATCGATGTTTCTCCCTCCCCCTCCTCCTTTTTCTCTCTCTAAAATCAATAAATAAGAGTTTTCAAAATAAAAATTTAAAAAAACCTGGGTCTGGCAGTCAGGAGAGCCCAAGGCTGGAAGCGGGGATCTGGGAGTCAGAGTGTATCCAAGACTTTGTCTCTGTGCCTATTTCCCAAGAAGGGCTGAACCCTTGCCCTCTGAGGTGCCTTTCTGCCCTGACATCCTTTGCTTTGATGGTGGTGGGCAATGAGTAGTGGGGAGGGGGTGTGGGGGTCAGGGGGCGGCAAGGGGCCCGGTCTTACCCGGCCTTTCTCCACCTCCCGGGTGGTCATGACGATGACACGGCTGTTCTCCTGCCATATCATCTGCCAGAAGTCGTTGACCGTGGCATCCAGGCAGCCCTGGCTGGCAATGTAGGTCTTAGCATTCTCATCAGGGCCTAGCAGCTGGTTCTGGACACAAGTGCAGAAGACATACATCAGGACTGTGGGCCTCCCGGCTCAGGACACGCCCTTTGCCCCCACCACCCTCAGCCACACAAGTCATCAGCTTTGACTTTGCCCACACACCTCTGGACCTGGTGGCCCCCTGAGATGCGGAATCCCCAGGGCCCAGCCTCTCCTCCTGTATGACTTGTGGGCAACACTGACCTTGATGTAGTTGGCGTTGATGTAGTCAGACCCAGGGATGTTACTGTCACGCCCCTGCAGGATCACTCGGCTGTGGTCGACTGAGAGTGAACAGAGAGGAGGCCAGAAAGGCCTGGGTCAGTAGGAACTCACCAGCCCCTGGGTCAGGCCCTTCCTAAACTCACAGGCTATTGTTGTCCGAGAAGCCATGAGGCTCTCAGAGCACTGTGGGCTGGCAGGGCACCTGCAGGAGTTGGCGTGGAGGCGTCAGAGGAAGGACAGCGGTGAGGGTGGCGGGTGCGGGAGGCTCTACTGGGAGGAGTAGAGGCTGTCTGAAGGAGAGGAGGTTCTGCTGTGTGTGGGTGGGGGGCAGACCCTCCCCGAGATGGGCGCAGAGACACTGTGATGGGGGAGGTGGGCCGAGGGAAGGAGAATCTCCTGGGGGAATGGGTGCTGCTCGGGAGCAGGAGAGATGGAGGCTGCGGGGGTGCTCACAGGGCAGAATGTTCTTGTAACGGTTCTTGCTCTTGTTCTCTGGCCGCTGCCCTTCCTGCCGCTCGTGCAGGTTCTTCACCTCCTGCTTCTGCAGACTCTGAGGGTCGAGAGGGGGCAATGGAGCATCAGCCCCCGAAAGGGGTGTCCATGGATGGACACAGCATGGGGCAGGTCAGCCCTGACAGGGGAGCTCAGCTGGTTAGAGCATCATCCCTACACACTAAGGTACTGGTTTGGTGCCCTGTCGGAGCACATGCAAGAAGCAAGCAACAAATGCCTAAATAAGTAGAACAACAAATCAATGTTTCTCTCTCTCCCTTCCTCTCTCTAAAATCCATCAATAATTTTTTTCATGGGGCATATCAGCATCAGGGGTAGAGAGAGAAGGGTTTCTCCACCCCACGCTAGACGCCCTGAAGGCCCCCATGACGCACCTCAAACTCCTCCCAGAAGCCGGCCTTGGCTGTGTCCTCCGACTCTTGCTTCTTGTTCAGTTCCAAGACCCGGTTCTCAATGTCAGCTGCGTTCACCCGTGTGGCATAGTATGGCTGGGGTGGGCAAGGGTGAGAAGTCAGCGGCTTCCAGACCTCCGAGGCTCGTGGGGCTGAGGGACTGCTCAGGGGGGGAGGAAGGAGGCAACCAGGCCCACCCCTCACCTGCCGCAGGTAGACAAAGGCGCCCGAGGCCTCCTCGATCCCCGTCTTCTTGAAATGCTCCACCAGGTCCGTGAGGCTGTCAAAGGTCTCTGAACCACCCACCGTGTAGCGTCCACCCTGAGGGATACCAAGTCAGGCCACCCCAAGGGGCCTGCGTCTCCCTCCCTCTACCCGCAGCCTTGAACGGAAGCCCGGCTGATCCTCCCCACCGCCCACGCCATGAACACAGATGGGAGCCCCAGTAAGATCCCCGCCCCCGCCCCCCCGCAACTGCCCGGCTGCCTTACCTCACACATGACCTTGATATGGGTGACTTTGAGCGGGGAGCCTGGGCCAGCCTTGGGTTGGTCACTGAGCACGGACAGCACAAAATCTCCAGGCTGACTGAGACTCTCACGCACGAGGAATGTCCAGGGCTCACCCTTGGCCTGCAGCAGCGTCTCCGCCTGCCCCCCAGACATGTGGCCATGGTACCACCTAGAAGAGGCAGCATCAGCAAAGATGAGTCCTGGGCCAAGGGGCAGTTACTGAGCAGAGGTGCTCACAGGGCAGGGCAGGGAAACTGAGTATCTGTGATGTGCTAGATGCTTTCACACCCACCACGACATTTAGGTCCGTTACTCACAAAAACACAAAGAGGCAGGTACCATCCCCAATTTACAGATGAGAAAACTGAGGCTGGTGATTACACATTGGCCCCAGGCCCTTGTTGATTCAAGGCAAGCCTCAGGAGTGCTAACCAGGTCCACTTCTGCAAGTTTAAGACAAAAGCAGAAAGGCAGGCTATATCCAGAATATTTGGAGGGGAGAAACCCAGGAAGAGTCCCCATCAAAGACAGGGCTAAGCTCGGGAAAGAGAACAGAGAGTAAGAGAAATGCAAAGGTCAAACCACAGAGAGCCATGGAGATGGGAGAGACGGAAGTCACCAGGGAGGCACGACGGGAGGACTCCCCCAGGGAGGCGGGGAAGACAGCCTGCTGGGGAGAGTGGTTTAGGGGGCTCTGGGGTGACCGGGGATGATGCCATTGAAAGGAAAGCTGGGGCTCAAAGGGGCTCAAAGGGGCAAAAAGCAGAACTAGGACCTTTCCCCAAAGCACACCCCCTTCCCAGGAGGAAACTGTAGCCCCACAATGCCCAGCCCCACAGGAAACCACGTGATGGAAAAAACACAAAACTCCTTCTGGGGAGAGAGTGAGAAGTGAGGTTGTGAGGTTTCCTCAGCCCAGGGACCTCGGGAGGGGGGCATTTTCCAACCGCAAGGAAGGGGGGAAAGAGGGAGGGGACCCATCTGTCTCACCCATCTCACTCCGGCCCAGAGAAGACCACAGCTCAGAGACCTCCAGAGTCCCCTGGACCCCCTACCCAGGCCACCCCATCCCACCACTTAAGGACAGGCTCAGGTGCCAGGGCAATGAGGAGGGGTCCAGCCCTCTCCCCCCAGCCTCCAGGATGAGGAAGTTTCCATGCAAATGTTAGGCTGACCACAGGCACAGAGCTAGCCATCAAGGGGACAAATGCAAATTCCTGTGGAGGAGGAGGAGGGGCAGCAGTCAAGGCCCAGACACAGACAGAGGCTTTGAGAAAGAGCTTCCTACACACTTCCAGGGTCAGGGGTGAGCCCAGGCGTTCAGGCTGGGTAACCAAAAGGGCTCTTCGAGTCAGCGTCCCCGGTCTTAACCTTAACCGGCCCTGGCCCCAGCTCTGCTCTTCTCCCGTTTCTCCCAAGTGATGTGAACACAGGCCCGGCCTCCGCCCCCAGGGGGTTCACTCAGCTCCTTGTCTCCCTCCAGATCAATACCCAGCCTACTGATTCTCTACAGTCTGGCCACCCAGTTCTCCTCTGGCAGGACAGAGCATGCCTGTGGGCAAGGGTGGAGAGAGGACATGAGAAGTTCAGAGGGTGTGGGTGACAAACTCCCATGCGTGCTCCCGGTGAGATGCAGGGACAGGGTGAGAAAGTACTGGGGAGGGCAGTGATGAGCAAGATCATCAACGCTGAGGATTCACTCCTAGAAGATGTGGCTTCAAAGGAAGTGGATCAGTAGCTTCATGTTGACTGGAGAGAGGTCCCTTTGTGGTGGGACATGGGGCCTGCATGTCACCTCATCCAGTTCTAAGTTTTAATCAGTGACTTGGACAAAAATACTGATGCAAGTTGGGAGGCAAGCATCTCAGAAACACTGAAAACTGACAGAATCAAGTTCAGAATCATTTCAATGATCAATACACAAGTACATTACAAGGGCAAGTTGGTTTGGCCCCAAGAGTGTGAGGGTAAAAAAAATCCCTAGAGTTTTTCAGCTACCCTTTGCCCTAATAGGAGCTGTCATTGAGATAGCCGCCCAAAGGAGCCGCCTGAGGCGCTCAGTGTTCAGGTGCCCCCACCTCCCACCTAGGCTTTAGGGAGACCACCTGGGGTGCGGCCAGCCCAGGCCTGGGGCCACATCTTTGGATCCAAAGGGACAGAAGGGAAATGCCTTGAGTATGACCCTGTGCCCAGGTGCTAGGCCCTTGCACATGTGACTCTGTGGACGATGTGTCCCAGGGACGCCCGACCAGCCCCAAGGTGGGCCTGTTCCCTCTGGTTTGCTCAGATAAGGCAGTAAGTGTCCTCAGGGATGTTAGCCCCCGTGCTCCTTCTCAGTACCCTCCTCCTCCTGTATTAACCTGTGCTGGAGGAGGGAACAGTTATAGGAAGTCAGATTCAGTTCCACAGAAGGAAGAAGAGCTTTCTAACAACAAAGCAGGCCACAAGGAACAGCCTCTCTGTCACCAGTAACACCTGGATTTCCAGCTGACAGGGACCCTGAAGAAGGGCAAGGCAGCCTCTTGCAATCCCGGGGGTTGGTGGGAAGGGGTGGGAGGTCAGTCCTCAGAGACAAGGCCTCGGGGTCACATGGAAGACAGAGGGCCACAGAGGAGCCAGGATGGGGAAGGCGCCCACAGACCAACAGGCCGGGGTGGAAGCAGAGCCCCTCACCTCTCACTGGTAGGGTCAGAGCAGTTAAGCGGGTACTTGAGGTGGATGATGGTGCCATCGCGGTCCTGGAGGACGCCGTGCTGCTGCGTGTAGTACTCCACCAGCTCCGTCAGTGTCGCAAACTTCTCCCCTCCATACAGGTCGTAGAAATCCCCCGAGTTCTGGATGCGAATGTGGGTCACCTGATCCCCTACCCTGCAGGACACCAGGGAGTGAGGCCAGTGGGTGCAGGAATAGCGGTGGGGAGGGCTGGGGGAGGGCTGGGGGGGCGGGCCGAGTATGGGCCACACAGGATGGATGGGGTGGACAAGTACAGGGACAGGGACGCGCTGGCCCTGGGCGATGGGGAGTCAGCAACACCACTAGGGAACCAGAACAAACAGCCAAAATACTGCTCCTGAGTGGAGCTGAGGGCCACCTACCTGACAGAAAGGGAGAAGTCGCCCTGGTTCTTACGACTGGGCCGAGCCAGGAAACTCCCGTGGACACCTCGGCCCTTGAGCAGGGTCTCTGCGTCCAGCCCACTGAGGTCTCGATGAAACCACCTGGGAGGCCCAGGAGGGCGGTGAGGAGAGGTCGCATGGGCTCCAGGTCACCCATGCCTCCTGCCTACCGTGGGTCCCAGGCCCTTACCTCACCATCCTGGGGGCTCCCCAAGAGGAAAGGGGTGCAGGGAACGAGGTGGTGCCGGGAGTCCGGGCAAGTGGAGCACGCTAGGGGTAAGCCTCCACCGAAGCCCTCGGCGCCCAGACCACCTCACCACCCCTGCAGTCCTGGTTCTGGGGCTGCCACTCCAATGGCTCAGGGCCGCCAGCAGGGCGGGGACAGGAAGGGGCGCGGCCCCCTGGGGGAACTCACTGTACTTCTCATTTTAGAGCAGAGGGAAGAGAAGCAGAGCCTGTGGAGATGGGGGTGGGGATGGGGCCCACTTCCCACGTCTGCCATCAAAGACCTCAGGAGCATGGCAGTGCACAAGTAAGGACACACATGTGCCTTGTGCCCCCCAAGCAAAGGTCATGCTCCATACATGTAGCCCCACACAGCCACATGCCATCTCTCGCTGCTCCACACAGCCTTCCCTGGTCCAAGGTAACAGTGATGGTCCTGGCGATCACTGCCATTGACTGGAAGCTCGCCGTCCACCAGGCACTGTGCTTTAGGGGCCTTATCTGCTCTACCCCTCACAATAGCCCTACGAAGCCGGTACTGTCTCTATCCCCATGTTATAGACAAAGAACCTGAGGCGCTGGGCGTGTAGGGAACTTGCCCAAGGTCACCCAGTCAGTAAGTGGCAGTGTCACAACAAAACCCAGCCTGTCTGGTTCTAAAGCCAGTGATCTTAGCCACCATATGCCGGCTTTCTAGGCTTCAAAAAACAGAGGTGGGAGCCTCTTCTTCCATTGAGGCTGCTGCAGGAGGGGGAGAGTCCCTAACAGGCAAGGCATGCAGGTGCTTACAAAGGAAGGGGTGCCCTTGCCTTCCCGGCACACGCCGATGAAGAAGGGCCACTGAGGCAAAGAGATGGACAAAGTGGCCCCTGTGCAGCCTGCCAAACTTGCACATTTTCTACTTCTTGTCCTCAGGCCTTTGCCCCCACCCTGCCCTAACCATGCAGTTGGAGCCCAGGAAAGAAATGGATGTGTGTGTGCAGAGTCAGGGAAGCAGGTGGGGGCAGAGTTGCCAGGCCCCTTGGGTCCAACCACCCTATGCCCGAGCCATAGCTTCTTGCCAAGTGGGACTGGTGTGAATCAGCCAGGGCCCAGAACAACCAGGGACGTGTCTCCTGGGGCCTGGGGCCTGGGGCCAAGGTCCCTGCCATGGCTGATATTCTCAGGGCTGGTTGACCTTGAGCGGCCATACACGCTCAAAGCCTCTCATGCTCTCTGTATGTGATTCCAGTACAGACACCGCCCAACCAAAATGAGATGAAAGACGCCCAACAAAGGATATAAAAGAGAGCCATGTTGGCGGCTTCCCCTAGGGAGGGAGACCGGGCTGGCTGGAGGAGAGGGCTGGGAGGGACATTGACTTCTCTCTTATACCTTTTTGAAAACTTGTAGCACGGGCATGCATTACCTTTATAAAAATAAATTCACCCTGTCCTGCGTGGCTCAGTGGATTGAGCACCAGACTGCAAAGCAAAGGGTCGCCAGGTCGATTCCCAGTCGGGGCACATGCCTGGACTGTGGGCCAGGTCCCCAGTAAGGGGTGCACGAGAGGCAACCACACATTCATGTTCTCTCTCTTTCTCCTTCCCCTCCCCTCTCTCTAAAAAATAAATAAAATCCTTTAAAAAATAATGAAAATAAATTGACTGGGAGAATGCAATTTCCAGGGAAGTTCTGGGGAGTAGGTAATGCCCTACATCTTGATCTAGGTAGTGCATACATGAGTGTGTTAATCTGAGGTTCATCAGGCTGTGTGCTTAATATTAATACACATTATGTATATCATACCTAATTTTAAAATAAGGAAAAAGAAATAACACTGTTAAAGCCCAACAAAAGTCTATTTTTCCTATGATGACTACTATATCAGTTTTTGAAACATTCAACATCCATGTCCACCCTAGGGCTTTTTATCCCCTTTCTGGTACCCACGGGGACTTGCTCACTCTGCCTATTGCATGGTCTAATGCTAACTACCCTCCAGCCTTGGACAGCCACACTGAAAGACCATGAGTTCCCTCCCACAGCAGGGGCAAGAAAAGCAGCTGCAAGGTCCACTCTGCCACAGAGGGCCCCTGCCGGTCTCACTTACTGCCAAGTGCTCAAACTTTATATAATGCCTCACATAGAGTGCATGTCCAACAAACAAGCTCATCAATACCCATGCCCCTCCGTGGTCACAGGTCCAGCTCCTGGTCCTACAAGCATACCTCTGGCTTGTCATATACAGACATGTGCACACACACACAGTCATCCATCTGCGTACACACAGTCCCACTACATGCACCTATCCGCCATGTCTGGTACAAATACCCACATGGGGCTGTGCTGGTGGTACAGTGGTGAGTGTAGCTGCCCTCCAGATGCCCACATGGACGCCCCATCCTGACCCCACACAAAGTGGCAGGTCCATGCTCAGCACTGAACACCTGCTGCATCCTGGCCCCGGGGCCAATGTCCTTCTGGGGCTTAACCCCACTTGGTAGGAAGACACTAGGTAGTCCCTGACTCGTGGAAGAGGCAGGGATTTTTCTGAAGGGTATCAAGCCAGAAGACAGACACTAAGGTAAGATGTACAGAATCTGGTGTCCCCTTAACAGGAAAATAAGTAACAACCACCTTCCTTAACTTGGCAGAAGCACCCCAGTGCTGGTGGAGCACTCACACACACAGAGTCCTGCCTGGGCCTCACACGTCCCTGTGACATAGGGATTATTTTCCCCGTTTTTTTAAGGGAGGAAAACAGGCTCAAGGAGGCTGAGAGTTACAAAAGTCAGAGCCTAACAGTTCCGAAGAAAAAACTATTCACAGAGGAAGCAGGGAGACAAAGGGAGACAGACAGAGATCAGTGGTGATGCAAAAAGACAGTCTAGAAAAGCGAACAAGGCAAAATAATCTCAAGAAAGTGATCCAGCTTCCCTGAGCCTCAGTATCTGCACCCGAAAACTGGGCTTAACAGTACTTCCCAAATACGGATACAAAAAGACTGATGTGTAATAGGGTTTTAGTACCAACAGCTTCTGCATTACAAATTAATCCACATGCCAACCCCATTTAGTAGGTCTCATTAGCCCAATTTTAGAAACAAAAATGAAGGCTCAGAGTAGTTAAATAAGTTGCCCAAAGTCACGAGGTCTCTCTTGTGAGAGAGAAGGTGGACAAACCAAGACTGCCTGACACCAGCGCTGGTTGTCCTTCCTGACACACGGACCACACCGCTGGAGCAAGCTTCACTGGGAGGTGGGGAGGTGTTGGCATGGCCCACGGGAGAAGCTCGAAGGCTGGCACTCCCAGGAGGCAGCACCAAGGTGGCAGGCACAGGACCCACGGGAGTAGGGCTGGGTGTGAGAGAGCAGCAAGCCCTCTGCTGCAAAGCTGCTCTGAGAGGCTGGGACCTGTTGCAGAGGATTTTTAGACCAGGCTGAGGGACCAAGGAAGGGTGCTGCACCAGGAGAGGCTTTACCACCCACCTACTAGGAAAACGACCATGGCAGGCGAATAAAACGGAGCAGGGTGGGTAGCCCTGGCTGGTGTGGCTCAGTGGACTGAGTGCTGGCCTGCGAACCAAAAAGTCGCAGGTTGGATTCCCAGTCAGGCCACGTGCCTGGGTTGCGGACCAGGTCTCCAGTTGAGAGGCAACTAATCAATATATCTCAAAAATAACAAAATAATAAAATAAAAGGCATCAGGGAAACAGATAGACTGGATAAGAATTGCTGACAGTGACCGGGCGTGCACTGGGGAAGGCAGCACAGGTGGAAAAGAGGGGGGGCGACCAACCCACCAACCCACCGACACTCTTCGCTGCAAGTCTTCGCTGCAAGAGCCAGACTCTCACAGGTCGGCCTGGGCCCTGCCTTCCTCTCCACTTGTTCCCTCCAGGCACACTGTCCTTGTTCCCACAGCAAGGCCATCCCCTCCGCCCAGGGTGCTGCGCTGGCTCTTCTAGGTCTCAGCTCGTCCCCTGCTCCAGAAAGCCCTCCCTGACCCCTCGAGCTGCTCCTCAAGCAGCAGCCCCAGACACCAGTTGTTTTGTTTCACGCTGAGAATCTGAAATCAGCCCGTCTGTTGCGTTCTTCGTGTGGTCTGTCACCTCCCACTGAAGTGAGGCTCTGTGAGAGCAGTGACACGCACACCGGTGTGCTGCAAGAATGTTTAAAACGTGCCGTACCTGACCATGTAGTCGGGGACACTGACCTCTTTTCCCTTAGATTGTCATTTAAAAATAAATGACAACAGCCAACACAACAATAACTGTCCAGTATGAATAAACCAAAATTATACCTATTTTTGGGGTCAGATCGGCAAAAACCATGTTTTTTTAGTGTGCCGCAGAATTTTAGTAATTCGTTTATGTATGCCTTGAGATGAAAAATGTTGAAAATCACTGTGCTACAGTATTGCCAGCACCTTAAAAAGTACCAAGCACATAACAGATGCTCACTGTGTATCTGTTGAATGAATGATGCCGGGGAGGGGAAAGAAAGTGGAACGAAAGCACACTTTCTCCGGTTTGCCTTTTGGACACATTGTTACAGGTGATGCATGCTACCCAGGGGGCCACGTCTTAAGCAGAACAGCAGAAGCAGGGGACCAGAGGCTGGAGAGAGAAATGCAATGGTGAGAATACACATCTGTCAGGGGAAAAGTGCTGGAGAAGAAGGGGGAGCCCCCCACCAGGAGCACAAACGAACCTGGAGCTCCTCAAAACTTGATGCAGACCCAGGGCTGGGAGCAGTGACAAACTGCATTCATGGTCACTCACACACCTGTCAGGAATGAGCATGAACCTTGCCCCTCCCTCCCAAACTAACCGGAGACTGTAGCACTCAGGTGGAACAGGAGACTTACCCATGAGACAGCATCTCCCCTGAGGGACGGGGGTGTCACAGGCAGCGGGCCACAAAGGGCAGAGCTGAACCCAAGGTGCAGCAGTGTAGTGGCCCAAACCTGGTGAAAAATGCTCTGAACTCAGCCACTTCCTCCTCAATGCTGTCCACTGGGCCAATGGTAGAGCAGCAACAAGCCTCTGGACTAAAGATCCCCAGAAAAGGAACAGGTGGGGTGGGGCTGGCCTCAGACCAACCACAGCAGCCTGCTTTTCCCTCCAGCTCTACTTCTTGGTCGGGAGTCCAGGGCTGCCGCCTGCCTGTCCAGGGCCTCCTTCCCTTGGGAGGGGAGGAGCCACCTGGAGCTCCACCTGGAGTTCCAGCTGACATGGCAGCAGGAGGGCGGGTGGGGGCAAAGACCAGGAAGTAACCCTGGCCAATCGAACACCAACCAATGGGGAGCCTCTTGATCCACAGCCACCAACAAGCCTCAGGAAAAGCTCAGAAAGCCCCACTCCTCAGCAGAGGTGCTGCCTGTGCAGGCCTACCAACCCAGGATGTCGAAGGGCCGGCCCACCCTCCTACCCTGCCTTGTACCAGGGTTGGTCCCAACAAGAGTATAGGAAGGATCTGGACAGGGAGATGAGCAGCTGGAATGGCAAAGGGAATCTGGGGCCAAGAGGTGGGGTTGTCAGGTCACAAAAGATTGACATGGAGGCTAAGTCACAGGTATGTTTATTATCCTCGGGAACATCAAGATTTTCCCAGGAAGTGTTATAGGGGAGGCCAACCCTCAGGAGGCAGCGACACCACCACCTGAAGCAGGCCCGTGGGGCGGCAGCGTCATGGGAGGCAGGAACAGCGCCTTCAGCTTGCTGGACAGGCTGGCAATTTCGGGATCCTGGGCTTCATAAGACTTGACCAAGCGGGCAAACTTAAGAACACCTGCAAGGGAGATCTGAGCGTCAACCCATATCCCCAGGGAATGAAGGTGCCCAAGACAAAAAGGTGGGTAGCTTGAATATGAGTAACTAACTGGCTGCTCCCCTTCTGGCCAGGTAGCTGCCTGCAAAACAAGGCACATGCAAGACCTCTGTCCTGTGTGGTTTGCACCAACCACTTCCTGGTCTACACAGGACACAGATAGATGGGATGCGGTGAATGGAAATATACCAAAGCAGTGTACTCTTCACCATCAGGTAAACAATTGTAGCTATTTCATTATAGGAACCCAAAGTACGAACACCCACAAGATCTGACGTCTATAACCACAATACAGGAAGGCCATGGGCCAACTGGTCTAAATCAGATCTCACCAAAGAAAATGAACCTCCAACCCTCAGGGACAGATTAGCTGAAACACCTCGGAGGGGCTGAAGGAGCCTGCTGTCGTCACACAGACATCTCACTAACGCTTCCAGAACAGGGTTCAGGTCCAGCTCTGCTGTGACCTCCGGCACTTAGTTTACTACAGGAGTCTGTTTTTCTCATCTTAAAATGAGGTAGTATAATTAATGGTAACTACAAAATGCATTTAGGACTTCACCTGGTGCAGTTCAGGGAAGACCTTAGGCTCTCAGTGCCAATACTGTTAGTCAGATTGTGGCTGCCGCCGTGTGGCGAGAAAGGAGACGACAGCTCCCAAATTCACTCCACCTCCCCGGCCTTCCCCGCCCGGCCCACCTTCCCCGTCGCAGCTGAAGCCGTAGGCTTTGATAACCTCCTGCTGAATTTGTGTGGCCACCGGCAGCACGAATTGCAGCATCTTGCCCATGTCGTTGCATGCGTTGTCTCGAGCCTCGTCCATGCGTACGGCGTTCTCGGGTGCCGAGAACGCCTGGATCACCTCGGCCAGGACCACTGTATGGCAGATGCAACCCAAGGTGGCGTCCCGGGGAAGACAGAGGAGCATTGCCAGCAGGCCCAGCCGACAAAGCAAGGAAGAGGGCAAGGAATTAATTAGCGGGCCCAAGCCATAAGAATCCGATAAACACGGCTCGGAATCTCTCGCTCTAGGGTATCCTTGTTAAAGGAAAGGGGGGGAGGGGGGAAAGATGTACCGCGCTCCCCGTTTCCCAGCGATGCAAGGGTCCCCGTTCCCTACGTCCCGCTATTACCCACCGCCCGCACCCTCTTCCCGCAGGCAGCCGGCCGGGTGATGAGAACGCTCCTCACCCTTGGCCTGCTCCGCGCTCAGGGCCGCAGGTTGGGCGGAGGCGGACGCCATCGTGCTGTAATGGTTGCACGTGTAGCGAAACCAAAGAAATGCTGGAAAAGGAAACACGGTCTCCCAACTAGGATCTCCAGACGGCTCCAGGAAGAAAAATCGGTGGTAGTTGCAACCGGAAGTTCCGTCAGTGTAATACTAACTACCTTACTGTAAACTACTGAAACCTTCCCCGTTGTTTTAGTGTAACACCAGCATATAAACCCGCACTAAACACATACACCCTTAAAACCCAATAGTCGAATACTTCTATTCTTTAGCGTAACGTGTAATTGTGGGTCTTCCGGTAAAGACAGGAAGACCTACTAGACAAATTCAAAAAGAGCTGTAAGCACTACAAGGGAAATCCTGGAGAGAACACGGGGAATCCATGAACTCCACTATTGGTGAGGGTGAGCTCAGAGCGGCCTTTTCTAATTCTTACTGTTGTATAATCAACGAGGCGCACTGTAACATTCACAAGGAAAAACAGTAGTCTAAGGAACTTATATCATTCACTTCTAGAGTTTCTGAACATTTGATACGAGTTTATGCAAATTAAATCGATGCTGATTGGCTGAAAGAAGCCAGTCACACCCTTCAGTTTTTAAGAACGGAGACAGTGATTCGCAGCAGTACAAGCTTGGAACTAAAAGCCCTCTCGTACTTTCCTAAAAGGACCTGTTTAGGAAAGTATACTGCAGCGTGACACCCTCTAATTTCTCTCTTCTAGGTGTTTGAAATTGTCACCTACTCTTCTCAAACCATAGGGTAAAGACTCCTGGATTCTAATCTACTTGATTTGTTGAAACCCCGGCCCCTGCTTCATAACCATGTACCAAACTATTGTACAGAAAAGATTCAGACTGGTCGCTCCTGTCAGACCAGTAGCAAAACCGCCTCAAGTCTGAGCATTTCCTAGAACTGGCCTTGGCAGAGGGGTGCCTGTCGCAGGCCTCCAGCACCCTGACTTCCCAGCCTTGGGAGGAAGGAGGGGGACTAGCTTTGGTGGCACCCTCTCCAACTGCCCAGGGTCCCTCCACCTAGTTGTTTCAGAAGGCCTGTCCCTTCCCTTCCAACTTCGGAGCTGGTGTGTCTTGAGGTCCCGACCCCATAGCCCACAAATAAAGAGTCACAGCCATCTTCCTGGGGAGTTGTGAGGATGTTTTGTTTGGTTGGTTTTGGTTGGGATGTTTTTAAAGAGCATCATATAGATATTTATATATAAATTATTAATGTGGGGCAGGGGCAAGGAGCATACATCGCAGAGGGGGCGCGCTCACAGGGATTAGGGAGGGGCAGGGGCGGCACACAATGCTACGCAAAAACAGCCACATCTAACAGATGAAATAATCACACCAACGAGGTGGGGGAGGGCGTGATGGCCACAGGGATTGGGCATGGGAGAGGAAGAAAGCAGGGGGACAAGGAAGGACCTGGTCCAAGATACTGTGCGCCTTCTGCCCCCACCGCTGCCACCTCCCCACCTCTGCACACCACAGGAGCCTCGGCCTTCCATCTGTCCCTTCCTCCCTCCCTCTGCCCAGCTGCGGAGGCCCTGCAACTGAGCAGCACCCCTCGATGCTCTGGATTGCAGGCCGGGAGGGAGACCTCCAAGGTCCAGATGCACACTCAGGCCCTGGCTGTCTTGATTGCAGGTTTACAGCGGCTTGTCACTTTCCTTTTTCAGGTGACTGGGGAAGAGAAAGGGTATAGAACAGATGAGAGACTGAATTCAAACCTGACCTGACCCCTCTCACAGAGGATAGTGGAGGGGATCTCCCCCAGGAGCCTAGCCCAGTTGTACCATGCCCAAACCCCATCCCAGGCTTACATCCCTTCACTCCAGGACTAGGCATGCCTGGTAGTACCTGTAGTAGTCCTCCTGGGCAGGTAGCGGCACACTGTGCAGCGGGTGATGGGCGTGCAACCACTGCTGCTGCTCTAGCGCCAAGCGCTGCAGCTCAGCGGACTGCGCGTGCATGGCCTGCAGCTGGTGAGCTGCTGACATCGGGGCAGAGAGGGAAGCTGGCAGTTCCCGGTAAGGAGTGGCTGTGGGCAAGAAGGGCAGGGAGCACATAACTGATGGGGGACTGAAGGTCTACTCTGAACCAGGCAATAGCCAACCACTTTACATACAGAGGAAACTGAAGCCAAAAAAGTTGGGTAATAGCCAGTCCTGCAAAATGCCAGCAGTAGAGTTAGGATTCAAACTTCTTAGCCTGGCACTAAAACCTATTACCTCCCTTGGGCAGGGCCTGCCCCCATTCCCACCTCCTCTGGGTGCCTCCTCACCCCCTCCCAAGCCCAACTAGACCAATCCCACCATCCAAATTCCTCCTTTCTGCCCTTCACTCATTAGACCTTCCCCATCCCTAACCTCCATCCTTACCAAAGAGCTGGTGACGAAGAACTTCGTTCTCGTGCAGAGGGTGAGGAAGAAGGGGGTTGGGGAGGGTCCCAGCTGGGTAGGGTATCCGGGTAAGGTGAGACCCTGAGGCCAGGGGGTCAATGAGAGGGTGCACCGAGGCAGAGGCTGGAGGGTAGAGAAGAGGAAAGTGTCACCAGAAGGCAGGTTTGGGGAAAACCATGCATGTAGGTGAAGGGAATCCAAGCCTGGGAAGAGAGATGGAAAATCAAACAGAGAGATCCAGAGTGAAATGAGGAGGCACAATAGACAGCCTAAGACATTACTAGAGCAGGGACATACTGATGGCAGAGTGCAGATTACAGCTGTCAGAGGGGTCTGAGGAAAAGAAAAGAGAGAAGTGGACTGCTTAGAGGAGATGGAAGAGGACAGAGAGTTTAGAAAATGAGACAGGAAGAGGACAGAGGATAAGAGAGAGGGAAAGCTCAAGAGACGTTGGAATGAATATGAGTATAAGGCTAGATTGGGCAATACGAAAATATAGTGAAGGGATAGTAAGCTAAGCTCATTATTACCTAGGATGCCCACAACCACAGCTACAAGGCTCTTTCTGAAAAGGCACAGAAATGGGGAGGAACAGAAGAGACCTCCAGCTGGGAGAAGTCAGCAAGAAGCCACAAGAGTTGAACCCAGAGGAACAAGAAGACAGGTATGTGAGGGGCTGTAATGGTAGAAAGGTGGTGCTCTTTCCAAGATTCCCAGCTTGAACCTCTATCATGGGTGGGATGCTAGACTCTGAAGAGGGTGGGGGTGTGAGGAACAGTCTTTGTGGCAAGGGTAGGATATGAAGGGACAGGTTGGTGCATGACAGGGAGGCAAAGGTCATGGCAGCACTCAAGAGAGAGGCTCATGGAGGACACGGAAGTCCTGGCTTGAGGAACAGAAGAGCTGGATCACTTGCTAGGGGGCAAGGTGGCCCCAAGGGGTGAAGGAAGGAAGTAGGAGTCTCACCTGCATGGATGGCATCCTGCTGGTGGAGGTGCAGGTGAGAGTGGATGTGGGAGTGCTGGTGGTGATGGGGGGTCACATTGAGCATCTGCAGCCGGGCCAGTGGGTCATTGCCCAAGGCTGCCACCCTTTCTGCATGCTGTCTCTCAGCTGCCAGACGCTCCGCATAGGACATGTCAGGCCGCAGGGCTGGCCCAGCAGCCAGTGCCAGACGTTCCCTCTCAAGGGGCCCCAGGCTGGGATGAAAGGGGAAAGGGTGCAGGCCAGGAGGGCCAGGCTGCAGAGCCAGGCCCCCGTGTCGGGGGAAGGGATCCAGGCCTGGCCCAGGAACCCCGTGTAAGGGTTCCAGCTCACTGGGCTTCACCTCGAAGCCAGGCTTGAGGCGGTCACGGAGGTCTCGTTCTCGGGCCTCCCGCTCCCTCTCCCGGGCTGCTGGGTCACTGCTGTACAGGGCTGGGACATTGTAACCCAGGAGCCCCGGGTCCACTGCCCCCAGGGGCACGTAGAACGGATGGTTGCGATTGCCAGGAGACATGACGTGGGGCCGGGCATATTCACTGAGAGTGCGCAGGGCCGGAGTGTCAGGACCCAAGTAGGGGGGCACTGTAGCCACAGCGCTGCCCGGCTCAAACGGAGGGCGATGGGGCACAGGGCCGAGAGATGGACACTCCACTGGAGCACGTCCCTCCTGAGCCAACTTCTGCGGGGTACGAAGAAAAGAAGAGTCAGAAGAGCAGTCCTGTAAAAAGGCGGCCGGTCCTAAGCTACTCATTTACCTCAGCAGCTGAATACAGCCTACCAGGACCTTCCCTCACCCCTTCTCTTAAATAGTGGCTGTTCTTACAGTCCACAAGTAGTCTGACCTGAGCTGTCCTTCAACCAACCCAGGCAGGCAGTCCTCTCGCAGGAATCTTTTCGGTCTCCATTTCCTAGGTTGCAGTCCTTCCTCCTCTCCAAGAGGTGGCGCGATGACGCCCCGCCCCTCGAGCCTCCCAGCGCGGCGCAAAAGGAGAGCAGTGAGGCGGGAGGCGCACGTGGTGACGCACTCACCATGCTCCGTTCCAGCTCGCGCTCCTTCTCGCGCTCCCGCTCTTTCTCGCGTTCCCGCTCGCGCTCGCGCTCCTTTTCCTCGCGTGCGCGCTGCTCCGCCTCGCGCCGCACCTTCTCCACCAGATCGGCTCTCTTCTTGGCCAGCTTGGAGCCCTCCAGCGGCACAAAGTATAAGTCGCTGCGCGCGCACGAGTTAAAGCCGCGATCCAGGTGTTTATTGAACCTGCCAGGGCGTGGAGGCAGCAAGTGTTTAGCGCCCCGTGAGCGGCTCCGCAGCGACTCCCGCCCAAAGTCAGCATCCGCAGGCTGGGAAGGAGGGGCGAGGGTGCTTTAAAAAGCACCCCATGACTGCAAGCACCCTTCCTTTCGTGCCTCCTGCTTATCTCTGTCACCTTCTTCGTTGTTCCCCATCCCAGTCCCGCCCATGTCCCACTCACCTGGCTGACTGACTGGCGTGGCTGGGTACGTCTACCACCTTGGGAGGGGGCGAGGGGCTGCGGACCGGGGGCACTGGGCTGTCGGGGGTCTCATATTCCTCAGCCGGCTCCTGTTTGATCTGCGTGGCGTTGAGGGGCGGCCCCGAGGCAGGGCCCGCAGGAGGTGGTGGCAGGGATGACAGGCTCGAGGGCCCTGCAGTTGGCAGGGGTGGCCCAGGCCCCACGGTGGGCGAGCCTGGCTTGAAGGTCCCTGGGCCTGCGGGCGGCGAAGCGCCTCGGTAGCCTGGTGGGGTCCCCGTTCGGAAGGAGGGTGGTGACCCCGGCTTGTATCCGGGTGGGGTGGCTGTCTTGTAGGCCCCTGGGGACTGGGCTCTCTTTCCATACGGTGGGGGCCCAGGTGGAGAGGCTGTTTTGTAGCCTGCTGGCGAGGAAGCCACTGTGG